GTAAGTGTCGCCCCCCCCGCGCCTGCCCGGCCCCCGTGGCCCCCCGCCCCCTCTAACACCTCTCTCCCCCCGCGTCCCGCAGAAACCCTGGTTCTACGACCTCCGGGAGGTGTGGAAGGGATACCCCATCCAGGTGAGCACCCATCCCACGGCCCCTCCTGCCCCCAGGAGCTGCCTGGGCGGCCAGAGATGGGGCCAGGAGCCCCCGGGGCGCGGGGGGGTCTCTCTGGGGTTGCACGGCGTCTCTGGCACCCGTGCGGGTTTCGCTGGGGCACAGGGAAGGGGTTTGCACGCCCGTGGGGTGCAGAAGGGTCCCCGGGACACCTGGGGGTCTGGCTGGTGCCCGCGGAGGGGGATCGAGCCCCCCTGGGCGCACGGAGGACCCCCCAGCCTGTGCCTTGCCTTTCAGAGCATGCTGCCCTCCCAGTACTGGTACTACATGATCGAGCTCTCCTTCTATTGGTCCCTGCTCTTCAGCATCGCCTCCGACGTCAAGCGCAAGGTGGGCCGCGGCGGTGGGGCTCCCTGGGGACGGGGTGGCAGGCGCGGGGACGTCATGGCAGGGTTTTCTTTGCCGTCGTGGGCGTTAGGGACCAGAGGGCTGGGAGGATCTGGGGCTGCCGTAACCCCGGCTCCCCCTCCTCTGGGCGCAGGACTTCAAGGAGCAAATCATCCACCACGTCGCCACCATCATCCTCATCAGCTTCTCCTGGTTCGCCAACTACATCCGTGCAGGGACGCTCATCATGGCCCTGCACGACTCGTCGGACTATCTGCTGGAGGTACGTCCCCCGCCGCGCCACCACGGCCGTGGCCGCGTCCGCGTCCTCTCCCCGGCTCACTCCCCCTCTGCCCCTGCAGTCTGCCAAGATGTTCAACTACGCCGGCTGGAGAAACACCTGCAACAACATCTTCATCGTCTTCGCCGCCGTCTTCATCATCACCCGCCTGGTCATCCTGCCCTTTTGGTGAGCGCCGGTCGTCGGTGAAGGGGTGGGGAAACCGAGGCACGGGGTGGGGAGACCCACTGGGGCCGGGATGCCAGGCCCTGCCCGTGACAGCGCTGCTTCTGCCGGCAGGATCATGCACTGCACGGTGGTTTATCCGCTGGATCTCTACCCTGCCTTCTTCGGCTACTACTTCTTCAACTTCATGATGGTGGTGCTGCAGTCGCTGCACATCTTCTGGGCCTACCTCATCATCCGCATGGCCCAGAAGTTCATAACTGGAAAGGCAAGAGGGGGCCCGGGGACGGCTGGGGGCTCCCGGTCCCGCAGGGAGACGCCGCTGCGGGGCGAAGGGGCCGTGTCCGGGGAC